GTAAACTTTTAATATAGGGCCTCTGTACTTCAAATAAGGAGGAGGGTAGAAACTAAATTGGATTGCGTTTTTAAAGATCCATTTGGCCATATATAAACTGGACAAGGCTTCCTTCTATAAGAAGGCTAAGCTAAGTCATTCAATTCCCTGCAGAGGAGTTGCCAGCTGTTCCCTAATCTAAGAGCATTTGCACTGAAACTGTCTTATGAATGTAGTTTGCATAGAAACTGGTGCCCAAATTCTCAATTTTATGTGATTTGCACATGGTGTAAATAAACCCCATAAAATGTCAATGGCCTACATATGTTTTAAATATTACAGATAGGAATGCATTGCTACCCTAAGAAGGACTTCAATTCCAAAACAGATAAAATTTAACGATGAGCGATGGGGTGAACCAGGATAATGTGTATATCAACTAGACTTGTTTTTCCCCCCTGTAAGGAAGCTGAGTCATGTATCTTACTCCCTTTGGAGGAGCTGCGAGCTTAAGGACGTTGAAGAACAGCACCAGTTACTGTAAGGAATAAATTAAGGCATATACAGTCATAAGATTCTGATATAATCATATTGCATTTCCAACCATGGACAAAACTGCAAGTGATCTTAAAAAATAATTCCATAATTTTGCATGTAGGTAAAAAGGAATGACAGCTAAAATCAGTTTTAGCCTATTTGTCAATAATATTATCTGCCTTTTCAATCGGTAGGAGATATCTGAAAAGATGAGTTCGGCTATGTAGTCACATACATGTAAATCCCACTGAGGTCAGTAACAATCAATGTGCAGGACAGCAGTAATGGGATCTCAAGTTCTTATCAACTTTGTTTAACAAAATAAAACTTTTTCAACTTTGTTTCCCTTTCTTTCCATATAAATTATTTTTTTCCCCCTGCGACATTTATATACTGCTTAATTATTTGTATTTCTAAGCAGTGCACATAAAAAAGTATCCATGGAAAATTATTATATCTATAATAAAACCAAACACTATCTAAAAATGCCTGCTGGAACAGGAAAGTCGCGCATGTGAAGTTCAGCAAGGAGGGTGCCTGTCTAATCTCAGTTCCATAGAGTTGAGCCCTCAGCACTGAATGCACAGTTTTCCATGCCTTCATACCTTCTGGACTGTACAAAGTACCCAAGTGACAGTTTGCTGCACAAAAATCAAAACATGGTCGTTTTAGCAGTATGACTTTAGTAGATGAGACAAAGCAATAAAATTTCAAGTGCCTGATTCAAACTTTGGATCAGATCCATCATCTGAGGCATGCAAAAACACAAAAATCATTGAAAGTAATTAGCCAAAGAGAATACCTAAACTTTGCCACTGGACATTAAGCTGGAAAAGGAAAGCCATCTGTTACACTTTGCCATTAATATTCTGTTTATCATTCCAAATTGGTAGTAGTGGAATATTGCTTTTGACAGATTAGCATTACTTGTCCTACCAGTGTATTTCTGAGAACATGACCACACTGCAAATTCAAAGCAGTTTAACCCACAAGAGTTTTCTCTGTGGACCCTAGGAATTATTCTTTAACAAGTCCTGGGGATCTCTTAAGAGAATTCATAACAACATCGCTAAGCTACAATTACGAGGGTTCCAAAGATAAAGCCGTAACAATTAAATATTGCATAAACCAGTTTACATGTATAATGTAACTGTTGCTTCCAGGGGACCTGTTTTATTTAACATTCATTCTTATTTGATTGCAGGGAAGGCATACACCACCATACCAAACAACTGTTATCTCCCACTTTCCAGCGCATTTCTCCATCACTTTCCTTAGTGCAAGAAGTTGGGACAGGAGGGAGGAGAGCAGGCTTTTTGCACAAGAACACCAAATCCATTCTACTAGCACAATCTGAATCTCCCTTAATGTTATTTAGTGCCACTTACAAAATAGTGGGAGTCTGGAAGTGGCCAGTCTTCCTCATTCAGCAGTTGTTTACCTAATTCATGGGTTCTCATATTTATTTCAATGCACTGTAAATAACTTCTGTTGTTGATATCTGTTTTTAATTAATTTAGGACTCCAAGATTTGAGGGCAGCTTTCCGCTACATATTTGATATTTATTTATTTTGGAATGGAGAGGGAAGACTCCACACCTTACCTACCCTTTTCTGTGTCGACGCTAAGTATTTCTTAATATGGATGTAGCTTCCTTGACAAACCACCCTACCTTCAAATGCGAAGCACAGCAGTACAACTCTAGAAAAGGGATGGCAACCTATGGCGCTTCAGGTGTTGCTGGACTCCAAACCCCATGAGCCGTGATGAGCACGGCCACAGTCAGAGATGATGGGAATGCAAGGAAGGCCACAGATTTCCTATCCCTCCCCCATAATTGCAGCATTGGCACTAAACCGATGGATTTTAGCTAGCTTTCCAATAAAGCTTTCATATGTTGGGCTGCTTAAATGCTCCTCGATGAGCAGCAAAGCCATTCCCTGCAAACCTTCTGTTGCAATCTTGCATTGCAAACTCCACTTTCTTTGAAGCTACCAATCAATGACAACACTAAAAATAAAAACGAAGCACCTTCAAGCCTGTTCTCGTTACCCCAATTTCCCCTAGGTTTAAACATGGCTTTCTGCTGTCTTTAAACAAAAATAAAAAACAGGAACACTATTTTAGCATGTCAGAGGACTTGTTCTCGACCCAAGAAACCCCTCGGCTGATTTTCGTAGAGGTGAGAAGCTTGTGGAGGTCAAGGACTTGGCGCGCAGCAGCCCAGCCAGCGCCTTCAGGGGGACACGCCCCGCGCCTTGTGCAGATTTTGGGGGAAACCCAGCTGATGAGCTAAGTCCCGCCCCGGCTTTCGCCCCGCCCTCCTATTGGCTGAAACTCCACACTCGGAATAATAACAATCGTCCTCCCAAGCGATTGGCACGCTCGCCTTGGCACGTTGCGGCGCCTTAGCGCAGGCTGGTCCCCGGCGCGGCTACTACGACTCCCCGGGAGGGTTAGTCACCGGGGATGCTTTCCAGGGAAGCCTCGTTATTGCAGAGCTGTCATAATGTTTAGCCACACTTCTCCCCTTCCTTCCTTCCTTCCTTCCTTCCTTCCTTCCTTCCTCTTTCTTCCATGGCACGCGTTGGTGCCCCCGCTCCCCTCGCCAGGAGAAGATTCCCTGGAATACCTTCCTTCTACTCGGGTCCCGGGCTGAAAATGGGTGCATGGCGGGGAGGGGAGGGTCGGTGCCGAGGCTGAAGTCTGCCTTGGATCCATGCTGCCCTTCCTCGTAGAGCCAGATCCCAGCCCTCAGCGGGATCCACTTTCAGGTAACGGTGCAGCGGCTGGCAGCCTTACAGCCCTTTCACAGGCATGTTTACTCAAAAGCAAGTCCCACGCGCCGAGTACAGAAAAAGAGCTTACTCCCAAGTAAGTGTGGATAGCCCTGCATCTGTCCTGAGCAAAAAGGTGAGAGAGGAAAAGGTGGCGCTCTGCACTTGCTCAGAAGCACTCGCTTTTTCTGATATCCCAGGACTCAGCTTTGGCGGAGGGGGGCAGATTCCGGGCTGCACATTTACGCCCTGCGCATCCCTGGCTCCCCAATCCTTTCCCCGCCGGCCTGCTCCCTCTTCAGTCCCAGCTGGGCCCGGCCGAACTTTCTCCGCTCCCCGCGGCTCTCCGCCGCTGACGCACATTTAATTCTGCCGTGCAGCACACGAGACACGCAGCGCGATCCAGGAAGGCTGTGCGCCGCCGCCGCGGCTGCCTCCCCTTCCCCAGCCGCAGGAAGGGGGTCGGGGCGCCGCGGGGACGGCGGCGGCCAAACTGCCCCGAAGCGGAGAAGTTGCCGCGCCTGGCACCCCGCCGTCTCCGTCTTCTTCTTCGGGGCCCTTCGCCCGCCAACCCCCTCCCCTCCCCCCCGGCCCGCCCCGCGCTTACCTTGCTTGACGCACTTGAGCCGGATGGGGTCCTTGCAGTGCTTGATCACGGCCAGCACATCCCGGATGGTGAGCCCGGCCACGGGGGTCTCGTTCACCTCCAGCAGCAGCTCCTCGGGCACCAACTTGCCTCCGCTCTCGTAGACCACCTTGCCGGGCTTGACCTCCCCCAGGTACGGGAACTGCCCGTTCTCGGCGCCCCCCTTGAGCTCGAAGCCCAGCTGGCCCTCCTGGCTCCTCACGATGACACACTCATGGACTCGGCTCGTCCAGTGGCTTTTCTTCTTCAAGCCCTTGGACATTGCCGTGAGGGGGAAAGGGATGGGCGCTTCTCCCTTGCCCGCCTGCCTGCCTGCCTGCCTGCCGCCTCCCTCCCTCCTCCCTCCGTCCCCCTCTCGCTCGCTCGCTCGCTCGCTCTCCTTTGCCTCGGGGTGTCCTTGGAGTTTCCTCTCGCTCGTGTGGGGCTGGCGAGGAGGAGGAGGGAGGCTGCCGAGAGGGGCGGGCGAGGGGGCTGCTCTCGCCTGCCGTCTGGGCCGGCGGAGAGCAGGGAGGATGGAGCGGGGCGAGGGACGGGGCTGAGGCGGGGAGGGTGGCGGCGGCGGCGGCGGCTTCCCCCCCTCTCTGCCGCTCTAGCTGCGGGTGCGCGGGGAACTGCTGGCCATGGCAGCTGCGGCAGCCAGGGTGCTGCGTGTGCGAGAGAGAGGGAGAGTACGGACTAGTTTTACAGTAACTGGATGGCGAGCCTGAGGGGGGAGAGCGAGAGGGCGGGCTGCGTGTGGATGCTGCTGCTGCTGCTGGAGTAGTAGGAGGCGGCGGCGGCGTGGATGTGTGCGGAGGGGGGGCGTCTGCCTGCCTGCCTGCCTGCCTGCCTGGCTCGCGCACTCGCTCTCCTCAGACGGAGCCTCTGACCCGGTAGTGAAGGCCGAGAGGGAGGCTGGCTTGCCTGGCAAAAGCAGCAGGGAAGGGAGGGAAGGGAAGCGAAGGGAGAAGGCGGGGAGCAGCCAGCGGTGGGTGGGTGGGGAGGGAGGAGAGAAGACGGACCCGCCGCCGCCGCCGAGGCAGGCACGGCCAAGCGCCGCCAGGCTGAGGAAAACGGCGCCTCAGGCTCCGGCGCGCGCGCGCGCGCTCAGCGTCTCTCGCTTTCCCTCAGGTTTGGCGCGCTTGGCTAAGGAGACGTAGCCCCCCCCCCCCGCCGCGCGCACACGCAGAAAACGGAGCCAGCCTCGCGCAACCCCCGCGCGCTCCCTCTCGCCCCCGCGCTGCGCAAAGGCGCGATTCTGAAGGGAGCCGGCGCGCATCTGCGGCGAACCATCCAGGCCAAAGGATCCCGGAAGGGGGCAGATGGCCCCAGCCATAGGAGCCAACTCCCAGGCGCCGCAGTCCCTTCACACACACCCATAAAATATTTGAGGGGGCCAGTCCGCCCCCCCCAAAAAGTTGACGGGCATTGCCATTCCAATGGCGTGCGCGCGCCGTGTCTTGCAGGGCAAGGTTTACCTTTTATTCAAGTTGCCCCCCCCCCTGACCCCAGCATTGCTTCGGATCTGCCAGTTGCTGCAAACGGGGGGGGGGGCTGCTCTTGGGCTCCGATCCTGCTTGCTGGTTTCCCCACTGTGAGAACAGGATGCCCAACTAGGTCTTATGTCTGGTTTTCTGCAGGGGTTGGCTCAAAGGCCAACTCTTTATATTTTTTCCTTTTCCCTTTCTGCAGCTCAAAATCAGCCATTGCATCTGAAAGCCGGTTGGTCACCACTTGGGATCTCTGAATCCTCCATGCCCCCAAGATGCTTCAATTGCCTCATTGGCAATCTCATAATCTCACACAATCTCATATGGCAAGTAACTTTGCCTTTTGCTGCTGCCTGTCCAGTCCAACACAAAGTAGGGGATGGGTTTTAATAGATAGAAGAGGATATAGTAATTTAGCCCTCCAGGTGTAGGTTAAACATACAAAGAGATCAGAGAAAGGACCTAGGCAACTCATAAGTATGTTTCCAGCTACAAGAATGTAGGCATGGAATTAATGGATGTGCCAGTTTGCCTTCATTACTCATACATATTTCCTTTGAATAGACTGTGTGTGTGTGTGGACTGATAATAATAATAATAATTTTGTATTTGTACCCCACCCATTTGGCTGGGTTTCCCCAGTCACTCTGGGCGGCTTCCAGCAAAGATTAAAAATACATCAAAATGTCATTAAAAACTTTCCTGAATAGGGCTGCCTTCAGATGTTTTCTAAATTTCAGGTAGTTGTTTATCTCTTTGACATCTGATGGGAGGGCGTTCCACAGGGCGGGTGCCACTACCGAGAAGGCCCTCTGCCTGGTTCCCTGTAGCTTTGCTTCTCGCAGTGAGAGAACCACCAGAAGGCCCTCGGCGCTGGACCTTAGTGTCTGGGCAGAATGATGGGGGGTGGAGACGCTCCTTCAAGTATACTGGACTGAGGCCGTTAGAGCTTAAAAGGTCAACACCAACACTTTGAATTGTGCTCGGAAACATACTGGGAGCCAATGTAGGTCTTTCAAGACTGGTGTTATGTGGTCTCAGCAGCCACTCCCAGGCCCCAGTCTAGCTGCCACATTCTGGATTAGTTGTAGTTTCCGGGTCATCTTCAAAGGTAGCCCCATGTGGAGCGCATTGCAGTAGTCCAAGTGGGAGATAACTAGAGCATGCACCACTCTGGCAAGACAGTCCAGGGGCATGTGTACCAGATGGAGCTGGTAGACAGCTGCCCTGGATACAGAATTGACCTGCGCCCCCATGGACAGCTGTGAGTCCAAAATGACTCCCAGGCTGTGTACCTGGTCCTTCAGGGGCACAGTTAGCCCATTCAGGACCAGGGAGTCCTCCACACCTGCCCACCCCCTGTCCCCCCAAAACAGTACTGGCTTCTGCTGTTTGCTGCCTTGCTCTTTTTTCCATAGCTGAACCTGGGAGTATTATTTTCCCCCTCATCCCTCCGTCCACACTCCTAAAGAGTCTTGCAAATCTGAATTGTTGCAGTGGAATCCATTGTTAAAGAAACAAAAATGTAGTGGCACCAGTGCTTTTTTTCTTTAAAAAAATGTTTAGGGATACTCTCATTTTCCTTCTCATATTGAAATACTGCTCTTCAATGAGGCCAAACTTAGATTCACAAAATGTTTAGGGGTATGCGTACCCCCTGCTTACCCCCAGAAAAAAGCACTGAATGGCACCATTGTTGTTTTTTGTTGTTTTTAAAGTGATGGCTTTAAATGTGAAGGAAAGGTTACAGGAAGAAGAGAAGGAGGAAAACGTTCTCAAATGTGCTCTGACAAGTATCTTTTATAATAAATTTTCAAGAAAAGGGACTTATTTCCAAGTAAACTATAGAAGCTATATATTGTCATGGCCTCTCCCAGATAAAAAATACACACATCTGATATTTAAGTCTATTGGCAAGAGAAACCTTTGCAGCAGCTTCCATGGTGCTCCAGATTCACACGACGCATGCCTGCTTCTCGCCTGTGGTCCGCAGGTCTGGGCCCTATGGAGCAGTTGCAGCAACAGTGGGGCCCCTCTGCTCCTTTGGCTTATATACCCTCCTCCGATGGGCTCCTTGCCCACCACCTGAGATGTTTCCTGCATGGAAGTCATTGCTGCTCTGCCTTTTTCAAGCCCCTCCTGGTTCCAGGAGACTGGAGCGGGGGAAGGTGGGGGATCTACTGACCCATCCGTTGCTTGAACTGTCCCTTCTTCCTCAGCTACATCCTGCGCGTCTTCCTCTGCCTTGGGCTGCCCTGACTCCCTCCTCTCGCCTTGTGGGTGGCATGACTGGTCATCACTCCCCTGGTCCCCTGCCTCTGCCACACACCCTGGCAGTCCCTAGCACATATACGTTTGTGGCTTAAAAGGCAGTGAGATCTTTTTCCCATGCTGGGTTTCAAGTCTCTTTTTTTACCTTGTTATACACAGCAAAGAGGGGTGGAGATGTCCTCACGTGATGCCCCTTACTTGATTTGTTTCTCTATTCCAAACCCCTATTCAGTGGTGCTGTCATCTGCTCATGTACAACAGCTGTCTGAAGTATGCATATCTTAGCTTAACCTCAGCTTATGTTTTCAAATTAGAAAATGTACTGAACGGCATTGTTTCTCAGGAAACTACAGGCTACATGTCAGTTGGGGCCAACATCATGTGTACTTGGTTTCAAACACCAACGGTGCAAGTGCAATGTATCTGATGGAAACAGCAAAGTAAACACAGTCTGGGATGCAATGAATGCAGATACCGCAACCACCATCTCCACCCACTGAAGTACTAACCCTACAAAAACAAATCATTAATTTGCCACTGTGGAGTGAGTGGGGAAGGGGCTCCTGTGGTCCCATCTGGAATGCACATTCAACGTGTGCAGAGAAGACACAAGTGACTGATGGGAACTGAGCAGATTAAGAATTGCGCTGACATATGGAAATTGATTGGCAGTCATAGCAATTTCATTACAGTTTAAGCACTTCAAATTATTTTTGTGTGTGGAATGTGTACTGGTTGCATTGAGTGATTTGTAGTAACAAGTGAGATGGGCGTGTGTATTTAGAGAATAATGAATGAGAACAGGAACATTTAAGGGGAAACAAAGAACAAAGACACTTTGATACAGCGTTCTACATGGGTGGAAACGTAGGTGTTAAGAGTCTAATTTCATGAAGGAGCTTGTAGGATTTGTAACCCAAATAGAGAACACTTAAAGAAAAGGAAAAGATTTTTTTTAAAAAAGAAATATTGAGGATGAAATTAATTTATACCAAGGAACAGGGCCAGAAGAACAGCAAAGGCCTCTATTTTCATAGTCCTCTGTAAATGTGTTTTGAATTGCAGCCTTTGAGGGCATCTGTTCTCTGTCCTTCTGTCTGGGAGTGTCCCCCTCTAAAATCACCACACTAGGCTCCCGTCATCCAACAATAGCCTTCACATGAGCCGCCTGGCCTGAGGGCACTCAAATCCTTCTGCCCAGAAGCAGGTAGGCTAGAGTAAATGTTCCCTACTCAGGCTCCCTCAGCATGTGGAAAGGAATGATGTTCTCACTTCTGCTGGACCTGGGAACATGCCTTTTCTATCTTAATGTCCAACCAGCGACATATTTGCTCATTTGTTAGTCTTTCTGGGTTTTTTTTTGAATGCTACGCGGTCAGAAACTCTGGTTAATGCTTGACATGCCGTGCTTAATGACATCACTGCCCCCCCCCCCCGGGTCTCAGGTTTGAGCCCTGAGATCTCAAGGTCTGGGATGCTCCTACACACTGATTATGAAGGAACAAGAAGCACCAGGTTTTTATCTTCCTAGGCCTTGCTCAAAAAGGAAATTGCACATTCTTCTACCTGGGAGATGTGCAAGTTTCTGTTGTGTCAGGAGGATGTGCATCTCCTGGGTGGAAAAGATGAGAAAACTGGTTTTTTACTTAGCACCACCAAGTTTGATGGGACTGAGGGCTATTAAGGCTTCCAGTCTTTTTGCCAACCCCTCCCCCCCATAGTTATATGTTTCCCCCGCTTCCCACCCTGCCATCTGCATCCGTAGTGGGGTTGCCTTAGTCAGGGAAATGGACTGGGTCAGGCTGCTTTCAAAACTTATCCCTGCTCCCACTGTTCCTCCAAACTGAACATGGACTCCAGGCTTTAAATAGTGTAAGTAAGGAACATATTGGCTCCACTTACATTCCAAAATCTGGTCCCTAGTTTGGAGGGGAAATCTCTTTAAAAATCTGTTCTCCCCCGCCATTCAGAAAAGTGTTCTTCCATTTTAAGGTTAGGAGGCTGCAAGGTCATCTTTAAAGCCCCCAGTCTATGGCTTTACTCTACCCTATCCATTTGTCAGGGGCAGACTTTGGACTTTGAAATTTCAGTGGCTCCCTGTGCAAGGCCAAAATTTGGCACTGCCCCCCACCTGTCATCTTCCGTTCTGCTCAGTTCACCATGTCATAGTTGTGACGCTCTGCTGCACTCCCTAGGCTCAGCACCCATTGCAGCAGAACCTGTTGCGCTGCCCTAAATCCACCTCTGCCTTTGTCCACAGTCATGCTCCGCCAGGTCTCGGCTCATCATTCTCAGACATTAAGAGGGATGCTACTACCTTCAACAGCATCAACCTTTCTGCCCTTATCCCTGGACCTGCCTCAGAAAAGTTATATGGTGTGCTCCACCCCCCCTTCCCCCAAACCCTTCCTTCCAAAGCACATCTATTGCTAATTCGTTAATTTAGTTAATTAATTAAACAGCTAATTGAACAATCCGCTTTACCACAACACAAACAGCTCCGTGAGATCCCACCTCT